AACTTAGGGTAAAAACGAAAATAGTAAGTTAATTACTAGTAGAAGTTAGTTAGTTTATTACTATAGCGAACGGAACGAACGTCGAAAGGAACCGACCTACCTCTCTCTCTCTCTCTCTCTCTCTCTCTCACACACACACACATACACACTCACAAACAAAGGCAGGCCATAATTACTGAATCATTTGATTGGAGTAGTTCTCCCCTAAGAAACAGACAATCTGAATGAACCAAAGATCTAAACTCTGAGAAATAGCTGTAAGAACGGACTGAGTTTTCTGAGAATGAATTTTGTTTATCAAAGAATGAAGAATCAGATGCCTTAAATGCAATTGTACATGAATAGAATTAACAAAACTATTCTTACTGAAAAAATATATTAGTATTAGAAAAGAAAACATAAGAACATCTCTAGAGCATACAGATACAAATATACAATTTTTAACAAACCAAAACATCAATAAAGATAAATGACAGTTTGTTCACAAGTAGTTATGTTATTACAAAACAAAATAAAGAGCTATGCACATAACTCACCAACTAATATCCCTGCAGTTAGATGTAAAAGACAAAGATAAGCATCCATAATCGCTTGTTGCCCGATCATCAGCAAAGACACTTTGGCTGCCCCCTGGAAATAAAATATTAGAAGATGATGGGCCAAATGCATGGGAAAGCCTTTAGAGATGGGCCAAATACATGGGAAAGCCTTTAGAGAATGTTACCAACTCTTTTAAAATTACACACATGGTTTCAATCAAAATCATTTGTATTACTTACCGATTGAGTACTGCTGTGCTCCATTTGACGAATTAACAGAAGAACTTGAAGAAAAGATATCTGGTGCGTCAAAATGCTAAGGCATGCACCCATAAGATATGCCAATGCCAAATAACAAGAAACACAGATAGAATACATTTTCTTTCATATGTACGATGGATTTGTAGAGGAAAAGTATATATCACATTGTGCCTAACAGCACAGACAAATAGAGAACCATACCAATGGGAGAGATAAGAGAAGAGAGAATAACACATCCTTTTACAGAGGATACAAAAGTAACCATCAACGTATAGTTAACAGCTTTGTTGTAGTAAACTTCCATGCTAATTGAACTAGCATTTAAGAGAATAGGTGAGAAGCATTCTCCTTCATCATCCAGTGCTGGACTCTCCACTAAACCTTCCATGTGGTAATGATCACGATCTCCATCTAACATTAAGCAATGAGACTACTCAGCAACTTGGCTATAGTATTATTACTTATTAGAATCAAATTATCAATTAATCATAAATCAACATATTTTGAAAATTCATGGTCACAAGAATGGAAGCTAAAAAGTTAATAGTAATAATCCATTTAAGAATACAGGACAGAACTGGAACAAAATAATATAAATATTTCCTATCAATTCGTGCCTATGAAAAAGGTTGGATCACCTCTTACAAATGGAAATAATAGGTAGTCAGAATGGGCAAAAAATAATAATTGAAATGAAAGCTATTAAGAGTGAGGCGAGTTAAGGCAAGGAGCAAGAGCACAAAGTTAAAAAGATCCAAAATCTAAGAAGGTCTAAACAGATGAAAAAAAAAAGTATACAAAGTAGGAAAGAAAGTAAGTCCTTATCAGACTGAAAACAGTTTATTTTTATAAGACGTGGTTATTTTGATTCTCCTACTTACTAGCATCCTACAACCAAATCTGATATGATTACAATGGCACATATCAGTCTCGGCAGCTTCCTTGGGAGGTATTTTCTTAGGAGATTTTCTACCTCTAGATTTTTCAGAAAAAAACTTGAAGATTCTTCTCAGAAATGACCTTAACAAAATACGTCCAAAATTTTAAACAGCAAATTTATAATAGTAAATAATCTCCATTATACGCACTAACTTTTTTTGGCTATAGAAATGTCCATTCCTGAACAGTAGAATCCTCCAACCACATCTAAGTTTTAGTTCTCAAAACACACTAACTGAATCCTGCACATGAAATGGCTAAAACGATGTAGAAAATGTCAGCCTACAGTTCCATCATATATGCAAAAACGCACTAAAAGATGTGCAGTACATGATATAAGCAGAAGCTAATGCAGCCTACAGGTCGATCTTTTGTCCATTTTGTTTTTTAACATAACACAGCTAAAAAATATACAAATTCCTTATAGAAATTCCCCAAGTACTACATTTTTGTGTGTTTATTATTTCCTTCTTTTTGGGATTTTTATCTTTAGAAAAGGAAGAAAAAAAAAAAAAGGAAAAAAAAAAAACTGAAATCTCACTGCATTAAGTCAGATTTTAATTGATCCGAGTTATAGAATGAACCCAACTTTTTGATCTATGATAGGCACATAAATAACTGCGGATGTGCTTTGCATTTCATTTTCACTCACAATGACTGTGCTGTGAACCATTAACCATTACAATCATTTCCTCTTTCATATTCTTTTACAAATGCATTCAGGAAACTGTAAAGAAATCGACACAAAAGAAAAAATCTACTTTTTAGCTAAAAGAATTCCAGGATTCAAGCAAGATTACGGAGCCAACCAAAAACAAGGGCACAAACAAATTAAAATTCCAATACCTCTTTGATCCGATGGTATCTTTGAAATCTGAGCAGCAATTTGTAAATTGCAATGTTTCTCCAAATCAAGTAAAAAAGCTGTAGTAAACAAGAATACAAGTATAATTAGAGAAACATACAGCTAGAGAAAATCAAAATGGAAAAAGGACAATGAAAACAAAGAGAACATAAAGGTTATATACCATGTTTCCCTTTTCTCTTCAGCTGCTCACGTGGAGAGTCTTGGAACACTTGAGATGAGAAAAGTCCAAGCTGATGATGCAAAATCACGCAACAATAAAACAATCTGAAGTACGAAGGGTAAGCCTAAATGACCAAGGTAATTCCCTTCCTAAGAAAAGCGATGATTTGTTCAGAAAAGCGATGATTTGTTTAAGGGCCTGCTTAGATAATGCATAAAGTGCCAATACGACGGCTTTATACATGTGTTCCACTCTATTTGGCACTTGGTCGGGGGGCCAACAGCTATTGCCTATTGGCCACGCCAGTGCCTGAAACACCGCTTACTATGGATTAGTGCAAATCTATATAAACATATTTTGTCCCCAATCCCAGTAGGGTGGCCTGGTGTTGTAATTTGTACACCACATACGAACTAGCTTAAAGTTAGGCCATTAGGGTAGGTAAGGGGAACCTGCGTTCATGGAAAGAATATACACCCTGCACTGATTTGGAGGTAGATTAGTAGGATCTGGAATGGTTAAAATTGTTGCTCCTTAAAGGAGGTACCTTCTGTTCGCTTTTCATCTACTCCATTTCCATGAACTTAATATACTTTTAAATGATAGAACTTGTCAAGAAGCTTGGCATTTCTATGTATGCATGTATATAAGTTCAGTTTAGTCATTTTATATGCCTTGTTTTAATTTTCATGGGTTGCGTTCAGAATAAATTTTCTCCATAATTGCAAGGCATCTTGCATCAGTGATGACATCGATCAGAAGATCATTATGTCCATATTTCAAACTTATCCCAAGATTAAAAATCACTAACAGCTTCCACAAGAACAAACTAGTGAACTTTGAAACTATGTGATGCAAGAAGAAAATATGCATAACTTGAAACCATATCAGCAATGAGGAACAAAATGTAATAGTAATGAAAGAAGGAGAAAAAAGCAATCACCACTTACCAAGTGATATGGATTGGAAAGAAAATAGTCTTCCTCTTGGTTCAGTCCACCATCCGGTCCACTGCAAGAAAGAACATGGACCAGAAAATTTTGTAACATATCTTCAGACTTGTATATAAAATAAACTCCAAAGGAACAAACAGCCAATTAAAACTGCAAATGAAAAATGTGGATGACATTTCCACTAACAATCATGTACTCCTGCTCCAAGGATTTTCTTTCTCATTAATTTTATTAGTTTCATCAAGTTAAACACTACAGGCCAGTTCAGATAGAAAATTATATGGGATTTTTAGAAGTATCAGTTCCACTTGTGGCAGAGCACACTACTGCAAGTCCTCTGTGTCCATCACTTTTGGAATCCCGCTTTATAAAAGTGCAGCCAAATGGTGGCCTATTTGATAATAGTCGGTGCGAAAAAACTATGTTTCTGTTATTCTATAATAGTAGGCAGGGGGAGGCAGTCCAAACTTGCCCTAAACAATCAGGGTTGCTTTTTCTGAATTCTCAAAAAGGAAGCAGTATTTGAAATAACTTCCAACTAATTTTCCCACCAATAAGTGCATGTAATGCGACAGACACCTCAATATAAGGAGATTACCGGTGGAAATTTGTGTTAAAGACAATTTAACAGGACACTACAAGGTGAAACTGGAGAAAACAAGTCAAACCATGCAACCACATTCAAACTTTTCGGTCATCAAAAAAAATACAACCACTGTGAGATGTATCACAAAGTAAGTTCCAACCATCTATGAGATAATTTCGAGTATCCAAAATAAAAGAACCATCAAATGCATTGCTATTAACCAGAAAAGATTGAGAGCATCTCCTTATCATAAATAACACTAGTGAAAAAGATTATGGTACTAGACTGTGAATAACCGATAATCAGCTTTGTCCCAAGCTAATACTTCATTAACAGCCCTTCTGGGATATTTAGAGAATGATAAATACTAAATAAAATTTTTCACTTAATTAACAGCCCTTCTCATATATTTAAAATCATTTGCAAAGTTCTTTTGTTATACTTCCAGACTCAAATATTACATAATCAGGAGTCAGGCATGTTGAAAAACACAACATGAATATTTACCGAACATTAACTAGATGAAGCAGAAATAATTCTCTCAACCAATCACCACACGTTCACCTCAAGAGTCACAGCCCAAAAGTAAGATACTTAGTATAATGAAAGAGAGATCAGGGTCCAGAACATGCTTACCCAATTTTTTAGCCAGTGAATAGTATGTAAATGAAGCACATGAAGTTTACCTATTGGTTACCATACGAAGCTGTCTGAAAGGCCATATATAAACCCCTTCGACTCTCAACTGAGTTACTCCAGGATCATGCTCATTATCAGATGCTCCTCGAAAAAATATCGCTCCCTGTTCAGAAGAGATGGAAACAAGCACAAGCATGAAAGGTAGTTGAATAGTAAAGCACAAATGTGAAAAGACAACAAAAAGATCCATCTTACACAAATTAACAGCACTTAAAATAAAAAGCTCACATATCAAGCTCAATTAATGACGAATACAACACACCCAATACATAAATGAGAATGGGTTAATAATTGCACCAGTCTCATATTAATGGGATTCCAGTATAGTTATCCATGATAACGTGGAATAAAAGTTGTAATTTAGTACCAAAAATTCGCACTATTTATATTTTTAATCCCCACAAGTTTCATTTGTTTGTGAACAGCAGCATCGGGCCAGCAGATATATCACATAGGTTATTGATTCTATTTTGATTTTCTCTTCTTTCACATGCCTAGTGGAATTGCCTTATATAAGTGCAAAATGGAGAACATGTCTCATTAGTAGGACAACCACTACTAGATTTAAATGGAGAACATGTCTCATTAGTAGGACGACCACTACTAGATTTTCTGTAGTTCTAGGAAATTCTTGCAGTCTTTCTTGAAAATGCCAGAAGCAAGACCAGGTCAAAATCCATGGCAGAAGTACACATATCATGTGACATATTGTTTGTATTTTTATTTTTTCTAATTTTTAAGAATAATATTTACTTATAGTTAATAATTTGTTTCTTAATATTATTTTAAATTAATTTTAATTATTTTAGAAAATAGTATAATTGAAAATAAGACAAAATAAAAGATAAAACACAAAAGTAATTAACCAAAAATACAAAAGCAATGAAAAGATAATTCCTTCAAATTATAGATATAAATAACGTAATTGGAGATATTTTTAAAAAACCAATTACGGAATGATATAATTGAATATATATAAAAAAAGGAAAACAAGATAATAATTCACCGTAAATGGAAATTATAGAAATAAATAATGTAATTGGAGATATTTTTAGAAAAACTAATTACCTCAAAATGCAAGTAATAAATAGAATTTAATCATATTTTGAAGTTTATGTGATATGTTTTAGCATTTTTATTTTTTCTAATTCTCTAGGATAATATTTACTTACAAGTAAATAACAAATTTACTAATATGATTAACAATAATTTTAGAGTAGGTTATAGAATAATATAATTAAAATATAAAAAATTTATAATAGAAGCCCATATGTGAAGATGGATCCATTTTAAAGTAGGTTATAGAAAATAATTAAAATATAAAACAATTTTACACTGAACCTTTGATATGTTTTTTGAAAGGCTAGTGGCGAGGGGCCTTGCTTAAGGGCTTCCTTCCCTTTTTACACTGAACCTTTGGTCTGTCTATTTTGCTTTAGATAGACAACTGAGGAGAACCCTTAATGGGGCGTATAAACTGCTTCACCAGGACTTGGACTGATGGCATGGGGGGTGTCTTTTTGGGGGCTTACACCATGTGTACCGAGCTTAATAAGGGGCTTTTTGGTGGCCGTCCTGAAAATCTAAACCTATCGGCAATGGGAGCCTTAGTAAGACGGTCTCATTGGGGGCTTACACCTAATGTACCGGGCTTAGTCAAGGGCTTTTTGGTGGCCGTCCTAAAAGTCTAAACCAATCGGTAATGAGAGCCTTAGTTAAGACAGTTACCCTTGGAACCAGGGCGTCTGGGCTAAGAAAGTTCCTTATAAGAACTTCTATCTCGAACTGTCAACATGCTCTTCCTGTTTTTGGTTGACGTCTTGGATTGGTGAATCTCTTCAACAGATGATTATCTTGACTTGCCATCTTGATGATCCTTCTGATCTTCAAGGGCTTTTCACCAAAGCTAACTCGAATGCCAGTTCAAGATTGAAATTTTATTTTAGTGACTAATATTTAGTACACATACAACGTATGTGAATAACTAGTTAGTGTTAAGTGCATAGTTTTCTTTTGTTAACGTTATTAGCCAAAATGATGGCAAAATAATAGAATAGTAAAGAAAATACTTACTTGAACATAATGGACTCCCGTAATCTTTGTTACAGAGCTCACTAACTCAAATATAATATATCCATTAGATTTTCCAAACTCTGGAAACCTATGAGAGCCATTGTTATTTTCCAAGGTGCCCCATGTCCCTGCATTTAAACATGCAGAATTAGGATCAATGTTTACAAAAAAGGTTTATCAAGAACAAAGCTGATAATAAATTAGGAATCCTAAAAGTATCATCTACCTAGAGTGAGAGATGAACTTTGAAAAGAACCAAAACACTAGCTACAGCTGAACACAAAAATAGATGCACTAAATCAAGAAGATAACCTCTTATTTTCTTCTTTATCTTAACCTAAGATTTAAAAAATGTTAGAGAAAATAATAAAATATAATAAAAAATAAAGAAGATAATCTTTTGATGAAGTCTCTATTTGCAGCCAGCTTCAGAAGAGTAGAGAAAACTTTCATGTTAATGTTAAGAGAAACAAAAACAAAAAAATGGCAACAATTAGCAGTATTATTTAACAGCCAGAAACATACCTCTATAAGTTCCTGTTATGTTCCAAGCGATGTAAGGGCTGAAGTCACGATCTTCTCTTTTGATAAGTAGGTGCTGCAGCATGGATCTGAGTCAATATTCATAAGCTAAAAATAAATACATTTCCAGTTACTAGTCTTAAAGTTTATGCTTAGATCGACATAAAAAAATAATTCTTGATCCAAAAGGAAAAGTTTATGACAAGATGTTTTGCAGTTCTTACAATATGTTCACTAAAGAATACACTGGCGATTTAGAAAGGAGGATTATAAGTCATTTTGAAGTCCAATCAAAACCAAGAGTGTCACTCTTAGCATGTTAGTTCAATGTAGTGAATGGAACCAAATCTTGAAAGAAGTAATATACATTCTCAAACATATTTAAACTACACGAACGAAAGCTGGGCCGAAACGTGAAGCTGATGCAAGTATATGAAATTCAAACTCTAGTCACCTTCAACAATATCATCCAAGTGACTTACCTGTTCCTCCCAAATTCTCTAATGACAATTCCCTAGCAGTAAACTCTTTGTTACCGGATTTGTAAAAAGGAATTACCAACCATCCTTCACCTCCTAATCCTAATATCTACAGAACCACAACCTTTGCTCTCCCACATCCAATTTAACCCAGTAATTTTGGGAATCCTCAATCCACCTCCAGCTTATACCAAAACACAACTTAACAATCATCATAATCCAAGAAACCCTAACCTAGAAGGCTGTAATTTTCCATTTCCACCCAAGGGACAAGATTCAGTCTACCTTCAGTGCTCCTCATGTTAAGAAATGAAGGGTACAGCTTTGAGGGCATTAGTGTTCCAAGGATACTTCATCTTTTGATAATTTGAGACTGTATAATGGTCTTGTTCAAACTTTAAGAATTACTTCACTTTCTCCACAATCTTTAGAGGATAAGAATCCAGGGTCTGAAACCTTAGCTTTCTCTACATCATGGCGTTACTCTCGCACATACTTCAAAATGATGCTTTCGCACATGCTTCAAAATGATGGTTTCACTCCATGATGCATCAGCAATTTTTCTACTCACATGGTTGCGAGTGTACTCTTTCTCCAACACAGACCGCTAGCACTTTGACCAGGGTCAAGGTTTTCTAAGTTTTTGGAGAATTTTTTTTCTCTAAAGCCCTAAATAGTTGAACAAGATTGTTGGGAACCCAACACTCCACCATAAAGATATCTTTCAAGGATTTTCATGGGTCGAGTCAACTCCTCATCAAAGGCTAGCGACATACCCTGGTTTGCAACAAACTGTCCATTCTCGGATATTCATTTTCTTAACATGTGTATTATGTCCACAGTTTGGATAGATGTATAATCTGGTTCGTATCTTTCTAACTTATCACTTCCACTGGAATTTTTGTTAGAGATCAGCCAACCCTTTCTTTTGTACTTGATATTACACGGGATGCAGGACTATTATGCCTGTCTATTGTTCATTTCCATCACATATTCTCACTTAGTTGATCTATGTTTGAAACCATTATGGAAAAGAACTGGCAGTCCCTTCAGGCTCCAAATAAAATCATCAAAGGATACCAAAATACAAATTCATATCATACTAAAATGTTAAGTCTCCTACTGAAGTTGAAGATTAAGAGCTCAAAATGTGGAAATTTTATCATAAACGAGTAGTAAAAAAGATTTCTTAGAACAAATATATCACATCGAGCACTGTGATAATCCATATAAAAACAAGAAGTGCAGAGATAGTACATGGAAAAGTATGATCAGTTTTTTCTGCCTTATTGACTCTGAATTTGTAACTCATGGTTTCCAAATTTAACAATAGGTCAGCTGCAAATAGCTATGGTAAATTTAGATGATCATTGGTCCATCATCATAGAAGCCTACTTTAATTAACAACTGCATAAGAGTCTCATGGAATTGGATACTTCCTTTCTATCATAAAACATTTGAAGAAAGAATTCGAAATCCGAAAGCAAGCATATTACTAGTGCAAACACAAGGTAACCCAAGGCAACTCATTTAAAACAAGAGAAAACTAATAGACAGAAGAAAAGAGAAATATAGAGAGAGAAAGAAAGTCAGAGAGAGAGAACATGCCTGGTTGCTACTCCACGAACTATCCTTCTCCCTGAGAGGCCTTAGAGCCATCACAGGCCCAAACGAATTAAAAATAACACAAAACCAAATAATAACATTAGACAATAGCAGTCTAAGCCCCCTCCTACCATCAAATTTTTGACAAACATTCTTCCCCAAAAACCCAATGTTTTGCCAATAATCCAATTTCCCACCCATTGGTCCACCCTTCTCAGAAAAACCCAATACCAAATTCAGCCAAGACATGTCTCTGAAAACTCCTTATGCTCAAAGAGGCTCAATTATCACCCAAGCAACAAAATTCCTCTTCATATCACCAAAACCCAAAAAAAAAAATTGGTTTCTGATGAGAGAGAATGCTTAGTTTAAGGACAATCGATCAACACCAGCAAGCGATGGAGAAAGGTCAACAAACGGAAGGAAGCTGAGGCGCCTTCCTACCTTCCAAGAGAGAATAATCCAACTAACTTCTACCCAAATACTAGTAATTTAACAACGATCCTCCATGTGGCGTTGATTTTGAAATTCTTATGTACCTCGTTTGTCTCTCCTCCATTGTTCCTAATATGGAAAAGCTCTCCTTTTACCACCAAACCCTCTTTTTTTTTTTTCTTCTCTTTCTATTGTAATGGAAGGAAGCTCAAGCCTAGCTGATAAGTCAGACGAGTTGCCGTCAATACAAAGTCCTCTTTATTTCACCCTATCTGTGTAATTGTGATGTTGGGTACTCCCTATACGGTCGAAAAGTGGAGCTCTCTCTCTCTCTCT